CCCGGGGGCGGCGGCCGGCTGCTCCGCGGCCACTGCCGCCGCCGTGGCGCTAACTCCCCATCCCGCAGCCCGGAGCCAGCGCCGCGGACTTGCCGCTCCCCGACCCGGCGAAGGCGGTGGCTGCGAGCGGAGGACCGGGTGGAGGAGGAGGAGGAGGGCGACGGGGAGGAGGCGGCGGGAGGCTCCGCTCCGCCCCCGCCCGGTCCCGCGGCGTGGCCGGCTGCGCCCTAGGGCGGCCTCCTCAGCGCCCCGCGGACCCTTCCCGCCCCGCGCGCCGCCCAGCCGCGGGCACCTCAGGGACGCCCGGGGTGGGAGCGAGGGCGCCCCCCGTGGCCCGGCCGCCCCCGGGTTTGACCCCGGATTCCGGGTGAGGCGGAGGAGGCGGGGGCTGCGCGGCTGCTCGGCGGCGCCCGGCGAGCGTGCAGGGCTGGGGCGAGGGCGGCCCCTGCCCGGGCGCCCGCCGCTCGGGGCAGTCGGGTGGCAGGAGCCGCCACACTTGGCGCAGAGACGCGGCGGGGGAAGGGAAGGGAGGCGAGGGTGACAGAGCAGCCCCGGCCCGTCGGCCCACCGCGGACCGGCTCCCTCACACGCCCCGGGCCCACAGGGAGCAGGCTGCCCGCTCCGAAAACCGCGCGGCTACAAAGTCCTGAGGCGCCGCGGCCGGCGTCCCGGCATCCAGCTGGGGAAATCGGCGCTTCAACTTGTGGGTCCCGGGAAACTGGCGGGGGGCGGGGCGCGCGGGCGGGGCGGGGGCGGGGCCTCCGTCCAGCCCGGGAGCGGCGCGTGGGGCCGGGCACCGCCCACTGCGCGGGTCTGGGGGAACCCGCGCGCCACGGGGAGGGGGCGCGGGGCCGGGGTCTGGGCGCGAGGGGCTGTGGGCCGAGGAAGAAGCAGGTGGGGTCGTGAATCCAGAGACCACTGGAGTTAAAATCACAAGTTGTTCGCGCTGGGGGTTTTAATTCTTTTGTCAGATTATTGACGGGTTGCGAGAGTCGCCGTTCCCACCACCCCTCCCCAGAGTCGGTGGTTCCTTCCAAGTACTCTTTTTCTGGACCCGCGGGTCACTACAATGTTTTCTTTTGCGGTGGCAATTCTAAACTTAGTATCTAGATGTGGTTCTAAAGTGGTTGCTAAAAGTAGTTGATTGCACCGGGAGTAATCCTAAAGGTAGTTAGACCAAACCTCTGTATCTGATTGATGAGAAACGGGAAATACACGAACGCTTCTGAGATTGTTTCCGTTTTTTTTCCCCTTCTCTGATTATGAACGCACCTGATTCCTCAGGAAAACTCTTCTATGTGTGTATCTAAATTACGTAATTACTACATAAATGGGCACCATTTTACATAACATTAGTGAATATGTACACCACTCAGCAACCACAGTCGACAAAATTACTTCACGTGTAGAAGTAAAATCATACATATACTAATTTACATGAATTTAGTCAAAGAAATTAAACTCTTACGTCCTTGTGATTATCTTGCTGCGACTGGATTAAATGGCTGGCTAATCGCTCCTGAAATAGCTACTATGTTACACATAGGCACCCCGACTTCCTTTTCACTTCTCTTAAAAAAATGCATAGAAAATACCAGTCTTCTTATGGGACTTAAAATCATTGAAATGAGAGTACTTCTGTGCCAGTGAATCACTTTATTTTGGCGTGACACTTTATGCTCTTTTTGGACGTTCCGTCGGGTAGATCAGTGTGAAAGTGTAACTTCCCTGGCATCCTCAACTTTTCCTGTGGATATTGATTTATGCTCCCAATCAGAAGAAACGAGAAACAAAAGGCTCTTTTAGGACTGAAGTATTCTTACAAAGATGAACAAAACAGTGATTTGGATTAATGGACACTATCAAAGAATAAAAAGGCAGGGGTCACTAGCAACGGTGGAGCCTCAGGATGCTACAATGCCCAGGGCTGCCCCTCCCTGAGGTCAGAAATGAAATAGCATTTCTGCACGGTTTTCATGTCTTTTAGCCTTTTGGAAGAATATGCAGTTGTAATATTTTCAAAGGAGTCTACATTTTTATTATTTATTCCTGAAATGTTATTTATTTGTCCGAAGTTACAATAAAGATTTCCAAAACGTTTTCAATCTTTTTTTTTTTTTTTTTGCCATTTTAAGGGTACTAATATTACTAAGCTCTCCAAGGGTATGACTTTTACCTTTAAAAAAAAAAGTGTAGTGTGGAAAGAATTATCTCTAAATCACAAGATAACATAATTTATCTTTGTGTGTTCCCTAATTAGATAGGCATAATCATGCTTGCACCAATGCAAGCTCTTTGGAGGGTAGCCAACCTCCTAGATACTAGCCTTTGATGAGAGCAGAAGGATAACTTTTATTTTAGGATTAGAGAGCCTTCTGCTTTTTTCCCCCTTCTTAAAGAACAAAAAATAATAATAATAATTTGAAGGTCATAGACAAGAAGAAATTTCACTAGAGACTTACTCTTTAGAAAGAAATACAGAAGATTCAACTCACGAATTTTAATTTAAATTGTCAGTTAAGTATAAGAGATTACGGGTTTTGTGTAAAACTATGATAAAACTGATATAGCCATTTATGAAAAGAGAGTCAGCCACAGCAAAGGAGAGAGAGTAAGAGAAAAAGGAGGGGAGGGGATGGTTAGGCAAGAAGAAAGTGAGGGGAGCAGAGAGAAGGGGACAAAGTGACTGGGTCCACCAGTCCCTAATAACCATAACTCCATCCATGCCAGGCCTCTGCCAGGTTGCTCAGTCCACTCAGCAGTTTAGCAAACTCATTCATCTTTCAATGTTTCAAAATCCCTATTTTCAGATCCTGCTCCTGTGAAGGAAACAATCTTTCTTCTCTCCCTTCAGTCCATTGACTCTGATTCTTCAGTTCCCGAGCCTGGAATCTATCTTGCCTTCATATATAAGGCTTCAATCTTCCTCCTACTTTCAGACTCTGATTATTCTCATCCGATGTTGCAGAAGACAGTTTGTTGTTGTTGTGTTTCTTTCCTGGCTACGCTGGGAAAAAAGTGCAGACACATCTTTCTTCCATAATAAATCTCATCACTCTGCTTGTGAGCAATGTGAGGAACAGAAATTCAAGAGAGAGGGAAAGACCATCATCTTCTGACATGAGGAAAGGCTGAATGAGAAGAAGCATTTTATAATGAAAAATGGAAAAAAAAAATCAATGAAGATTGCATGGTTTGCAGAAGAAATGAGAAAGGTGGAAAGAAAGAAACCATTTTCTACTGTGAGACCCGCAAGAGGAAGCCTGGACTTTATCCAGAAGATTGCTTCAAGAAGTAGCACACTCAAAAAAATTATAAACGGGGCGGTGCCTGTGGCTCAAAAGGGAAGGGCGCCAGCCCCATATGCCCGAGGTGACGGGTTCAAACCCAGCCCCAGTCCCCCCCAAAAAAAATTATAAACAAAAATGCTTTGTTTATTTTATATAATTGAAAATAGATAATACAATCTCAGGTAAGCTTATATTTACATTTTTTCTTTTAAAATTGTAGGATAATTACAAGTAAACCACAACCTCTTTCCTACCCAAAGTAAATAAGCCCTGGGAGGATGTGGGTGGCAGGAAACCTGCACTGGAAAGAGTTTTAAATTTTTCACTTACTCCCATGCATAGTATGAACCAAGAATAGCATGCCAGCTGAGACCAGGGAGCCATGGACTCACCCTGTTTCCAGGGAGCATGGACCCCCATTAAGGTGCCTCTGCCAACCTCATCTCACCTTTTCAGCCCAATCCCCTACCAGAAACTTTATTAGGGCACTTGTTTGATGCTTACTCCTTCCTTTTGGAATATTGTGAGAGGAGAATGTTGCAGTAAAAACATATCTATGAAGTATAAGGTCCATTTTACTGCTCTTAGATATATGACAGATTGATTGTGTTGAGTTTGCTAATAGGATATGGAATTGGCAAGTACTACCTTTTTAAATCTTACAAAGATTAGAAGGAGGGAAGCTGAGGTCTGGATTTACTCTTATTTACTTATTCGTATTTACCCATGACTCTCCTATCCTTACTAGAGTAGTCTGCAAAAAATACTGATAGATCTTTTTTTTTTTTAATTATTTTCTTAAACTAAGCTAATCATTCTTTGGGGGGAAGAATCCTTTTAAAAGCCGGAAATCCATGACATCAGTGTCTCCAGTGTTAATTTGCATAATTACAAGAGTGATTAAGGTATTCTCTGTGGGATAATATCATATCCTGAAGTATGTGTTTCTGGAAAAAATGCAATGACAGGAAATGGGTTTTAGGGAATGTGAGAATGAAGTAATGCTTAGATATGTTTTGGCTCTCAGAGATTTATGTTTACAATTACACTGTAAGGGAATTGAATAGAAGATAAGATCATTTCAAGTGCCTAGGGATATTTCTATGTACAGTTGATTGGGCCAAAACATTGGGCAAGCACACTGGGATGTCCATTGTAGTATCAATGTTTCCTGCCACTAGGTGGCAGGGACACACCAAGCAATGTAGTTCTCCTGACTTTTTCATAGATTTCAATTGTATCGACCATTAGCTTAACCAAGGCAATTATAAATTACGGATTATAACTTTACCATAATTATATTATAATCAAGTATCCTTACATAATTTTATAGTTTATTGGCTAATTATTAATAAAACACCAACCATATTCAGGGAATTTAAAAGAACCCTTTCATTAACAGATCAGTCTGAGTTGGCCTCCACTTTATAGTTTGTACAAAAGTTAACCTATTTGGGGTGGATTGCTTGAGCTCAGGAGTTCCAGACCAGCCTGAGCAAGAGTGAGACCCTGTGTCTACTAAAAATAGGAAAACTAGCCAGGCATTGTGGTGGGTGCCTGTAGTTCCAGCTACTTGAGAGGCTGAGGCAAGAAAATTGCTTGAGCCCAAGAGTTTGAGGTTGCTGTGAGCTATG